AGTGTCTCCCTGCTGTCTGTTTCCCCAGCCTCTGAGCTGGCCATAGAGCTGTACTGACCTGTACTTCCTCAGGGTCTGTTTCTGTTTGTGTTTCTTATCTTGGTCAAATATTCGGCTAGTGTGTATTGTCTGTTTAGGGTTCTGTAGTATTCCAGTTTATGTTGTGTTTGTGTGTGTGTGTGTCCCAGTGTGTGAGATATTGCTGTTTGATCTGTGCTGTGATGTGGCTGAGTCTGAGTCGTGGTGCTGTACAGTAGCAGAGCTGTCCTGGGGCTGGCTGGTCTCAGTGTGGCTTGGAGTGGGAGTACCAGGACAATCCCTGTCCTCTCTGATCCAGCCGTCCTCATTGATATAGATATTGATCAGTGTCCGGCCAGGAGCTCAGACTGTTCCCACACCTGTTATGTAATTGATATAGATATTGATCACCATTGAGCTCAGCCTTCAGTTCTCACTGTGCACTTGCTCGGATCTCTACCCTTTCTCTGATCCCGTACCCTGCCATGCTGTCCCAGTGGAGAGTGCCAGTCTGTTTTCCTCATTACTGTTATAAATAATCCCCAATTTTCCACTCAATCCTGGGAGCAGACCTTTTCACAGACTTTGGAAAATTGACTTTACCCACACAGTAAAATACGCACAAAGATACACAGACAGTGAAATACGCACAAAGATACACAGACAGTGAAATACACTGTCAAATTATATACACAAACACACTGACAGTGAAATATACACACAGACACACTGACAGCGAAATACACAATGAAATACACACACAGACACACTGACAGTGAAATACACAATGAAATATATACAGACACACTGACAATGAAATACACAGTGAGTTATACACACACAGATACACTGACAATGAAATACACAGTGAGTTATACACACAGACACACACACAGTGAAATACACAATGAAATACACACCCAGACACACTGACAGTGAAATACACAATGAAATATATACAGACACACAGTGAAATACACAATGAAATATATACAGACACACTGACAGTGAAATATACAATGAAATACACACACACAGATACACAGACAGTGAAATACACTGTCAAATTATACACACAGAAACACTGACAGTGAAATACACAATGAAATACACACAGACACACTGAGTGAAATACACAATGAAATATATACAGACACACTGACAGTGAAATACACAATGAAATACACACACAGTGAAATATACAATGAAATACACACACACACAGATACACTGACAATGAAATACACAGTGAGTTATACACCCAGACACACTCACAGTGAAATACACAATGAAATATACACAGACACACTGACGGTGAAATACACACAGGTACACCCACACACTGCCAATGAGAGGCACAGACTCTGTCCGGCAGGCCGTGTGGGTCAGTGGTCAGCCGGGGCAGGGCGTCCAGAGCGAGCGCGTGTGTGCGTGTGTGCGTGTGTGCGAGTCTGGAGGAGCTGGGGGCGGGGCTGTGCGGGCTGGCGGATTGTTTCCATTGGAAAGAATGTCAGGAATGGCTGGGGAGCCGCTGTCCCGAGTCTGTGCCCTGCAGCATGACAGCGCTGCAGCGCACATCCGAGCACAGGAAGCAGGGTCCCTTAGGGGACCCCACGAAGAGAGAGCGCTGGGGTCCGGGGTACGACTGGAACACACCTCCAGCTCCACACTTGAGCTGCGCCGAGCGTGCGCTCAGGGCCTGTGTGCACTCACTGCCAGGCAGGAGCAGGACGAACTGGAGGTTCTCTTCAGAGAGAGGCTCTGTCCACTGCCCTTGACTGACCGATCTTGACACCCGCAGGGAGAGGAGGAGGAGGAGGAGGATGGCGAAGATGATCCTGTTAGAGACGGTGGTGATGACAACAGTGTTGGTACTGGTAAATCACAGACACCATAGGGATGGTGTTGATGAAAACAGTGGTG